TTTTTGTTAAATTAATTTGGTATTATCCATTTATTTTTGCATTAAAGAAATTTTTTATTTTTATTTTATAAATAATTTAATTATTTGAGAAATTATAATAGAATTTTATTTAAATAAATGGTTTGTTTGTTTGCTAATTATTATTTTTTTTTTATAAAATAATTTTTTATTTTTTATTTATTTTTTAATTTAATTATTTGAAAATTAAAAATAGAATTTTATTTAAATAAATAGTTTATTTGTTAACTATATTAAATAAATGTCATTATTTTTTTATAAAATAATTTTTTATTTTTTATTTATTTTTTAATTTAATTATTTGAAAATTAATAATAGAATTTTATTTAAATAAATAGTTTATTTGTTAAATATATTAAATAAATTTCATTATTTTTTTATAAAAGAATTTTTTATTTTTTATTTATTTTTTAATTTAATTATTTGAAAATTAAAAATAGAATTTTATTTAAATAATTAGTTTTTTGTTAAATATATTAAATAAATATCATTATTTTTTTATAAAAGAATTTTTTACTTTTTATTTATTTTATAATTTAATTTTATTTAATATAATAGACTAAAATTGAGATAATTTATTTGTTAAATTAATTTGATATTATTTATTTTTTCATTAATAAGAAAAAAAATTAGCAAAACAAACAATCTATTAGTTTTTTATTTAAATTAACATTTGAATTGTATTAAAAAAATAATCTATTTTATTTTATAAAAGAGATAAATGACTTTATTTTTTAATAATATTAAAAATAGATTTTGTAAAAGTTTAAAATAATAATTGATTTAATTAATATTAAAGGATTTAAAAATAATTGAATGATTTATTAATTGATTGATGTCATAAAATTTAGGTTTCAGTTAAGATTAAATAATTAATTAATTAATAAGTAAAATGGATAGATAAAATATATCCTAGGAAAAAAAAGACATTTTATAAGATAAAGTAAATTTAATTTTTTAGAATATTAAAAAATGATCTAAATCTACTTTTAAATGTATTTATTTTTAATTAATTCTATTTTAAATTAAAAGTCCATCTCTCGTATTAGTAATATTTCTATTTATATAGATGAACAAAGACGTTACTATTATCCAAATCCAAACTATTATCCAGAAACAATGGTATCTTAAAAAAGTTCTTCAAATTAAAATTAATAATCGCTTGATAGAGTCTATAGCTTTTAGGTATGTACAATTAAACCTGATTTGTATGAAAATGATCAAATGTCTTTAAGTTAATTGTTTTATAATTAAAATCAAAGACCTAAATCAATATCTAATTAATCTT